TAGAGTTCGATTTTATCCACAGAGTCACCGAGGGTGTGTTTCTGCAGGATGGACCACATGCCCGCACGCACGCAATGACATGACTACTTAGTCACTGTATGAAAAGGACAATCCTGCGACATTGACAGACAGAGAGAGAGACAGAGAGGGAGCTGTGAATGAATTCCTCTCAGGTTCGGCCCATAAATCGTCATGTCGTTGCAGGAAAAACGCTTTGTCACACCAAGAGCAACAGAAAGTAACCTTCAGAGGACAGATGGGCCTCTTGGGAAAGGTCAGAGGTACGGATGGAAATCGTTTAAAGAATTGTTAAGGAAGTGGAATCGTTAAGCAAACATAAACCGATGACTCATGAGCTCGATCATTAGTCTGATTACTCATTAAAGGAACAGGCTCTCAAGAGTTATTTCTCCATCAATCAGACTGGGTTGTGTGGTTTGTTAACGAGGTCAATGCAACATGATTATTTATTGTTTCTTTATTTTCTTTCATCAATAACGTTTATACATTTGAAAGATGTTTTTATCCAAGGCACCTTTAAGAAATTAATTTGATCCGTCCATGCATTCCCTGGGAATCAAACCCATAACTTTGGTGCCATGCTTATGTTTGAAGAAGGAAAAATAAATAATTTCAATAGATACAAAACTGCAAATGAAACATTAAAATATACATAAACACTAACAAAAAAACGAATAAAGGCATGGATGGGAATAACTCATGAGCTCGATTTGCTGGTCAATTACTTCAAAATTGAAAATAAATAAAATGCAATAAAAAAAGCAAAATCTCAATACAGGTGCAAAACTGCAATACAAAACAAAATAAAATATACATTTGTTGTCCCAAATGTATCCCACACTTAGTTTTTCAGTTATACTTTTTCTCGATTGCTTAAACACATTTCTTGAAATTGTGACTCCTTTTCTTGAAACTCTAAACACAAATCCATAACTTCTCACCCAAAACTATTCAATCTTGCTGAAAAAACAAACACTTCGCCCTCAGAAATATCACACACGCCCTCAGAAACACACACACAACAACAGAGTCTTACACCCTAATGAGTTCAATTCATAACACTGTTGCAAAAACCTTCTTTTGGCATTTTACAACTCAATGTCTATTACAGTATACAACATAATTAGAGCAGATACATGTTACAGTAAATATAGCAGATACAGTGAAATTAAACAATAAGCTTTACAGTAAGAAAATATTATTTTTATTACACTGCTGTAAAGAGATCTTACAGTACAGTACATGAAAAGCACTAGAAAGGAAAAGGTCAAATACCAAAGAATTGCATATGAACAACAGAATATAGAGTCATCTCTTAGTTCTGCAAAAATACAGTACATGTAAGAAGTACTGTACTTGGCTACAAATCAGCTCAGCAGTTATGAGTTTGAGGGTGTACAACTAAAAGTAAAAGGTCTCTCATCTGAAGTACTGCTACTGTTCTGTCATTATATTTGATCTGTAAGTAGTACTGAAAGCCTGTAGGCCAGCTGTCCTCATGCACAAGAACATGATCAACTATAGTGCTGTGTATTTCATCAGGAATAAATGTCCTTTGACCCAGTCCCCTTCAGTTCTTTTCCCCTCATCTCCCACTAGTAGGATTCATTTTCCAAATCACATAATCAGCTGTGCTCCTTTTTATATCATCCTGAGATTCTGACTGGTGTGTCATCAGTTTTGCTACTTAATGTTCACACATAGATAAATGTGTGCTATTTGTGTTCATTTTGTGATTCTTGAGGTAGTTATATTGTCAGTTTGTGCTTTCTAAATGAGAACATGGTTAAACCTGTGCAAAATGATGCCGTTCTTGTGTAGAGTTTAGCTGAAAACACTGAGCAAATTGGAGCGTGTGTGAAAACGGGGGAAATGTTAAAAGTTTTGAAACGTGTTTTTGTTTCAGGAACTGTATGAATGGTTGGAAAATTGTGCCAAACGAATCAGTTATAGTGTGTTAGCAATTGAGAAAAACTGTAACAAATAAGGATACTACCAATACTGTAATGCAATTTGGCACATGATGAATGAATGAATGAATGCATGCATATATGAATATTTTAAAAAAAGAAGAAGAAAAAAAAGTGGAATAGTGCGCAAGTACGTAAATTGGGACGCACGGAGAAGAAAGGAAGTAAAACAGTATTTACAGATTTTCAAACAGCCGTTTTTTGCATTTAATATGATGTTTATCAAACAACACCAAATACTTAAGTACTTTATATTTATTTTCAAATCTTTATTAACACGTACATATTTTTACATTTTAATTTGGACAAACAAAAATGACCGATAAAGGTATCTAAAAAAAATGCACTGATAGTTTATTACTGTGTTTTTGCAGTTTAAGTTGTTTGAAACATCGGTTTACTTTGAAAAGGCAAGTCGCTACAGTCAAAACCATAGTTTTTTTTTAGTGCACAGGTAAATTGAGATTTTGGGCTGTGTGGCTTTTCATAACATGCTGTAAAATACGCATTTAAGTGTTTATTTTATTACACTTCCATCTATTTGCGTCTGTAGATTTAAATTACAATCCATATCTTTCAAGTTTTGGAGTATGTAAGTGCTGCTGAAGTGGATCTATATCTTGAAGGTTTTCACTGAGGGATTTGTTCATATACCATTTACCTATTTTTTCATTTGTAGATAACTTTAAAGGCCATTTTCTCAAAATGAGTTTTTTCTCCACTGCAGTAGCCCTTAGATACACTAAACTTAGCAGTTTTATTCCTCTCTATATTCTGAAGGTTTTTACTGAGGGGTTTGTTTATACTGTATATCTTTCACACTCATTTATAAAACATTTTACTCCAAAAACATGGTGAAAGTGTGTTTTTTTTTTCTGTCTGAATGCAAGTGTCGCGTCGCGCCGCGTCAAAAGCAAATAGAAATTACAATCACATGCCGCTATCTTGTCTACACTGTAAAAAACATAGGCTAAGTAAAGAAAGTGACCATTTACACGTGCCAAACATGGAATCACTTGGACAAAAATCACTTTAGGAGCGGATCTCCAGCGGTCACTGACCTGCAGCGAATCGTGCCTCCTGCTCGCCCTCGGACAGATGAGAGTATGACGTGAGGTGTGACTCGAGGGCGCTAGGCGTGTCGGTGGGTTTACACCAGCCCTTCCACTCGATCAGGTGAGCCACGCGGCCCTGCGCCATCGCTGTGGGCTTCGTCACATGATCTTTGACCACCTGCGAGAAACCTGAACACACACACACGCATGCAAGGGTCAGTGACCCGAATGCTGCATAATACAGGAGGAATAATCCAGGTCATGCTGTCAATCAGTACGACACAAAGGACTCGTCACGTGCAATGAAAGCATGTGTGTGTGTGTGTTTACCGTGAAGATCTAGTGAGCTGTGATCTCTTGTATTCACAGTGTGTGTGAGGGTCAGGTTTTGTGATCTTTATGGAGACCAAATGACCTCAGAATACAGCATCTCAATGGAGACGCTTCATGTTTATCTATTGTTATTTGCCATTATTGCCGTACCTTTTATTACACGATCATTAATCAGCATTAAATTACTGCGTTAACTATTGAGAAGGCTTTCAAAAAGGTGCATCACCAACAACAGGAACTTAAATTAAACTAAAAAGATTTGACTTTTGGCTAACATTAACACTAATCTGCATGAAATTAATGCATTTTAACTACTGACAATGTTATAAAAAGGTGCATCACCTACAACAGCAGCCTAAAATAAACTAAATAGATATTTGACTGTTGGTTAACATTAACATTAATCAGCATTAAAATACTGTGTTTTTACTATTGACAAGATCTATAAAAAAATATATATATATAAAAAAGGTGCATCTCCTACAGCATCAGTCTAAAATAAACTAGATATTTGACTATTGGTTAACATGAAAGTTAACCAGCATTAAATTACTGTTAAATATTGACCATAAAAAAAAAGGATGCATCACCGACAACAGCATCCTAAAATAAACTAAATAGATATTTGACTATTGGTTAACATTAACATTAATCAGTATCCCACGAGGTCTACATCTAAATTTGATGCAGAAACATTTTTCACTCAGAAACACATTCAATTAAACATGAAATTTTGAAGTAGAAAGACTGAAATGCATACCCGTATATTATTAAAATTAATTTTTTGTTTGCATTTGTTTTGGAGGCTGTGCAAATGAATTATATTTTGATGACAGATTACAAAGACAAACATTGTTAATTGCAAATATTCCTGTAAATAAACATGCACATATTTAAATAAACATGCAAGCAGTAAGGTTTGGGTGTAGGATCACAAATATTGTTAATGAAATCAACGAAAGTCAGTAAGAAAGTTTACCGTGAAGTGAAGATCTGGCCAGCGCTGCGATCTCTTGAATGGTGAGAGCTCGTCTGGATTTAGGTAACATGTCGCTGCCGTCCTCAACATTTACCTGAGAGGAGAAGATAAAACACGGAGTAAAAGCTTTAAAGAAGAGTTTCATTTCAAATGGTTTCATTTCATTTTCCTCAGTTTTTCTTTTTCTGCATTTCTTCTCTTCTTTGCTTCCTAATCTAGTTGTCTAATAAACCTGGCATGGTATATTATGAATATTGTTAATTAATTCTCTGTGATGTTGCTTTGGATAAAAGCCCCTGCTAAATGCATACATGTACATGCAATTCAGTTTGAGTTGGTTGGCTGTATTTAATTGTATTGCCGTATCAGCTTCACATGGCAGATTCAACATTCATCAAAATAATATAATAAATACAAATATTTTATAAAAATTCAGCTTAATTAAAAAAAATTTTACATTTTGTATATACACAGCAAAATATTATTTAACAAAAGCAAATAGAAATTACAATCACATGCCGCTATCTTGTCTACACTGTAAAAAACATAGGCTAAGTAAAGAAAGTGACCATTTACACGTGCCAAACATGGAATCACTTGGACAAAAATCACTTTAGGAGCGGATCTCCAGCGGTCACTGACCTGCAGCGAATCGTGCCTCCTGCTCGCCCTCGGACAGATGAGAGTATGACGTGAGGTGTGACTCGAGGGCGCTAGGCGTGTCGGTGGGTTTACACCAGCCCTTCCACTCGATCAGGTGAGCCACGCGGCCCTGCGCCATCGCTGTGGGCTTCGTCACATGATCTTTGACCACCTGCGAGAAACCTGAACACACACACACGCATGCAAGGGTCAGTGACCCGAATGCTGCATAATACAGGAGGAATAATCCAGGTCATGCTGTCAATCAGTACGACACAAAGGACTCGTCACGTGCAATGAAAGCATGTGTGTGTGTGTGTTTACCGTGAAGATCTAGTGAGCTGTGATCTCTTGTATTCACAGTGTGTGTGAGGGTCAGGTTTTGTGATCTTTATGGAGACCAAATGACCTCAGAACAATACAGCATCTCAATGGAGACGCTTCATGTTCATCTATTGTTATTTGCCATTATTGCCGTACCTTTTATTACACGATCATTAATCAGCATTAAATTACTGCGTTAACTATTGAGAAGGCTTTCAAAAAGGTGCATCACCAACAACAGGAACTTAAATTAAACTAAAAAGATTTGACTTTTGGCTAACATTAACACTAATCTGCATGAAATTAATGCATTTTAACTACTGACAATGTTATAAAAAGGTGCATCACCTACAACAGCAGCCTAAAATAAACTAAATAGATATTTGACTGTTGGTTAACATTAACATTAATCAGCATTAAAATACTGTGTTTTTACTATTGACAAGATCTATAAAAAAATATATATATATAAAAAAGGTGCATCTCCTACAGCATCAGTCTAAAATAAACTAGATATTTGACTATTGGTTAACATGAAAGTTAACCAGCATTAAATTACTGTTAAATATTGACCATAAAAAAAAAGGATGCATCACCGACAACAGCATCCTAAAATAAACTAAATAGATATTTGACTATTGGTTAACATGAAAGTTAACCAGCATTAAATTACTGTTAAATATTGACCATAAAAAAAAAGGATGCATCACCGACAACAGCATCCTAAAATAAACTAAATAGATATTTGACTATTGGTTAACATTAACATTAATCAGTATCCCACGAGGTCTACATCTAAATTTGATGCAGAAACATTTTTCACTCAGAAACACATTCAATTAAACATGAAATTTTGAAGTAGAAAGACTGAAATGCATACCCGTATATTATTAAAATTAATTTTTTGTTTGCATTTGTTTTGGAGGCTGTGCAAATGAATTATATTTTGATGACAGATTACAAAGACAAACATTGTTAATTGCAAATATTCCTGTAAATAAACATGCACATATTTAAATAAACATGCAAGCAGTAAGGTTTGGGTGTAGGATCACAAATATTGTTAATGAAATCAACGAAAGTCAGTAAGAAAGTTTACCGTGAAGTGAAGATCTGGCCAGCGCTGCGATCTCTTGAATGGTGAGAGCTCGTCTGGATTTAGGTAACATGTCGCTGCCGTCCTCAACATTTACCTGAGAGGAGAAGATAAAACACGGAGTAAAAGCTTTAAAGAAGAGTTTCATTTCATTTTCCTCAGTTTTTCTTTTTCTGCATTTCTTCTCTTCTTTGCTTCCTAATCTAGTTGTCTAATAAACCTGGCATGGTATATTATGAATATTGTTAATTAATTCTCTGTGATGTTGCTTTGGATAAAAGCCCCTGCTAAATGCATACATGTACATGCAATTCAGTTTGAGTTGGTTGGCTGTATTTAATTGTATTGCCGTATCAGCTTCACATGGCAGATTCAACATTCATCAAAATAATATAATAAATACAAATATTTTATAAAAATTCAGCTTAATTAAAAAAAATTTTACATTTTGTATATACACAGCAAAATATTATTTAAATCTGTGATATTTCAGTGAGATACTGGTATAATCTTTTTTTATTTCTTAATTTTCTATTTAATTTGAGTTAATTGGAGTAATTTTGGTGTGTTTTTGCATAGCTTTTATTTATATTTTTATTTCAGTTTTAGTTTTAGTTATTTTAGCACATCAAGTTAAACAAATGTTGCTTTGGAAACTAGCTAAAATATTTCATTTGATTTCAGTTCAAATTTCTTTTATTTCATTTCAAGTAACAGAAATGTTATATGGTTTTAGTTAACTATAATAACCCTGTAATGAAGAAGCATTCGACAGCATTTCGCTTTCTTCAGGCCACGGCGCAGCCACAAGTGTGGACGTCTGGAAGATGTGCCGTTATGTGAATGTAGGCTTCCTCGACCGCTAACCATATAATGATGACAGAAATAGCTCGTGCATGGCAGGCCTTGGAGTGAGACGGCAGAAGCAGGATCTGTGGCCCACTTTATAATAACACAGGGCTTCTGCGGAGTTTAGAAATCAAATTTAAGAGTTTTTAAGACTTAATTAATACCGAATGCCGTTACAGAACAAACCCATATAATCCCAAATTAAATCAAGTATCTCAAATTCTTTTACTTAATTAAACAGACTGAAGTACATTCAGCAGCAAGTTTGGTTTAAATACTCAAGATGTGTTTTTTCTAATATTTACATATATATGAAATTGGCTTCTGTTCTCATATATCAATACACATGAAGTAGAGACTCATCAATATTGATTTCACTTATAATATAATGCTTTTAAAAAATAAAATAATGCTTTTAGTCTTTCTTTCCTGTGACAGGGGCGACCCAGAGAGAAGATATAAGAGCTTACATTGATTTAAATGCCAGATTTGAACCAAAATACCAATAATAACCAGGAAAAAATCATTTTAATCGATCAAGACCAAAAATACACTGGGACTCTTATTTTGAAATGTATATTATCTTTAATCTTATCTACTACTTTTGGTTGCTCATTCAAAAAGATGAAAAATATGGGATCCAAAATACCAATATGAAAAAAGATTTTATGCATATTGAGGGACTTTTAAATAATAAACAAGCCCAAAATACAACAGGACTCTTATTTTGAAATGTATATACTTTACTGCTTCAGCTGCTCATTCAAAATGATGAGAAATATGGGAACCAAAACACAAATAATAAGGAAGCTAAAAACACTTTATGCATAATGATCGACTTTTAATCAAAAACAAGCCTAAAATACAAAGACTCTTATTTTGAAATGGCTAAGCTTTGCTAGTTCTGACTGCTCGATCAAAAAGATGAGTGAAATATGGGAACTAAAATACGAATAGTAACCAAACAAAAAAAATAAAAAATAAAGGTTTCATCCATAATAAGGGACTTATTAAATAAAAAACAAGTCCAAAATACTATAAGGACTCTTATTTTGAAATGGCTATGCTTAACTACGTCCGGCTGCTTATTCAAAAAGATGAGAGAAATGGGTGAACAAAAATACCAATTAAAAAAAAAAAAAGATGCATAATGACGTACTTTTAATCATAAACAAGCAATGGAATATAATTACAGTACTTTAGTGATTAAGCTATAGCATGTGTGCATTTAGCCGATACTAAATGTTTTAGACTACGGTTTTTCATACAAATTCCTAAAAACGATAGTTATATTTTTACCATGGTATTGAGGTGTGCTATATGTGTGGTTTTAACTGTGTTTACCACGATTTAAATGCATGCTACCATGGAAGACCAATGATTAATTAAAAATAATACATTTTCACTATATAAAAATGAGGTTGCTACAATTTTTACAGATGTTACTAATGTTGATAATGAACAAAAAAAAAAATCTGCATCAAATAAAGCTGATACTACTACTACTACTATCAAATGTGCATTTATAAGAGAAAAAAAAGCAATGTTATTAGTGCTTTTAATACTATTAATCGTGATTAATCGCATCCAAAATAAAAGATTTGTTTAAATATATATATATATATATATATATATGAATACACACACATGCTTGGATATATTTCAGAAAAATATATTATGTTTATATATTAAATATATTTATAAATAATATAAATTATGTGAATATAAATATATACACATGTAAATATTTTCAAAATATATACATGCATGTGTGTGTATTTATATATACATAAACATACACAGTACACACACACATATATTATGTAAACGAAAACTTTTATTTTGGATGCGCTTAATCATTTGACAGCACTAACTATTATTAATATTATCAGGCAACACAAACCTGTTTCTTGATTTGAAACAATATCACACGCAGAAACTATGAAATACATTTTTCTATTAAGATATTTCTTTTGTTTAGGAAAATGAATGGCCTTGGAGCAAAAATCTGGCTTTAAACTTGAAAGAAATAAAGATTTGACATTTATCGTGATAATTATCGGTATTGATTGATATGAAAGAAATGATCATGATATCGCCCAGCCCTACCTGAGCGCGAGTAAATTAATAGCTAATGTTTATTTTTGGGTGAACTGTCTCTTTAAGAGTTTTTTAGGAGCCACAGAGAGGAAGGGAACGCTGTGAAGTAAAAATGGACATGGAACAGATTGAGAGGAAACTTTGGCACCTTGAGGAAACGGTCCGAGCGCCCAAATGTCGTGCCCAGGCCGTGTGCCAAACTGGTCCGCGTGTTGCCCAAGAGCACCAGGTCAGAGCAGGAGCTCCTCAGGCTCCAGTCCACACGCAACCTGTCACCTGCCACTGTGTGAGGAAGAGAGGATGAGCGACTCACTACTGCCCCCCACTGCCCTGGAGACCAAACCCTGCTGCAGGACAGCCCTACAATATCTGACCACTATTATATACAGAAATCATAGAAAATATATATGATCAATATAAATTATTATAATAAATATTAAATTAATAGTATAATATTTTAACATTGTTTAATAACAATAATTTTATTTATTTACTTGCATAAATATAGATATATAAAAAATTAGATAGACATAAATATAGATAGGGTGACCAGATGTTATTTTATATTTAAATTTTTTAATTAAGTTAAAAACAAAACTGAGCATTGTCCTATAATACAAATATACACAATACAAATCCGTATTTATTGCACATATTTATTGTAACAATAGTATTTTGGCTCCATAAAATATCTGATTGCTACCGGTATATTGTATAATAATATTATTTAAAATATTACCATATAGTTAAATATTACATTATTATAATTTTATTTACATAAATTATCAAATAAATAATATAAAATATATATATTATAATTAAAATATAATGAATATCTTACTACTTATAATATTACTTATATTAATACTATATTGCGCCAAAATTTATGTACATAAAAATATAAAATAAATTACACGCATATTATTATATATATATATATATATATATATATAACACATACATATATATATGTGTGTGTGCGCATGTATGTATGTATGTATGTATGTATGTATGTATATATATATAAAATATTCTGTGCAATTTATGTTTAATTTATTCCAGTCTATGTAAAGTTCAAACTCATCTGATCAATAAGAATCAGGGTCATCTGGTCTCCCTAATGCTTCAGATCAAGAGCAGAGGCTTCGTCTGATTGCTTTCCACAGCAGAAGAGCTGAAGTGCTTCTCTAAAGCTCTCATGCATCAACATGCAGTCAAGATGCAACATTTATACAACCTATACGGCCAAACACCAAGCACGTCCACAGTGCTGCGCTCTCTCTGAGTGTCTAACACACAAACATGCAGGAAAAAAAAAGCTCTAAACTGACTGGCTGGCTTGATGCATCTGGTGCGTCAGTTTAGTTGGATGAAAGGCATTTTTGCACCAATATCTTGAATTTTAGGGCATAACTGCATTTATGGAGTTGTTGCCCTGCATCAAATTGGTCAACACTTATATAATAGTTTATTACTTGTTAAAATTCTCATTTATTTTACACACACACACACACGATGATTTAAAAAAAAAATTATATCACAATAACAAATGCTTTTTTTTGCACTCAAAACATGCAAAAAATAAAAAAAAAATAATTTGAATGCAAAATAACTTAGAATTGTCTTGAAATGTGACCTGAATGTGTTTTCATGAGATTGACTATTACTCTCACGTTGTCTCTGTGGATAAGAGCGAGATCACTAACCTGTTTCTGATAACAGAGAGGCTGATACGATCTACAGTAACAGCAGCGGGACTCCGTCTTCAGCTCCTCTGCGGGAAATCAACAGGAGCGTTTAGTTCTAGCTGAGCGACCCACAAACGAATCAAACACGAGAAGAGCACAGCACAGAGACCTTCAGCAGTAAATACTCTGTTCCTCTCTAGCAAACCTAATCCAATCCATCTGCTCACCGAAGCGCTCGACGCTCCGTCCTCGTCCCCAAGCCCTCTCCTGTCCTCAGCAGAAGTTAGAAAGCAGGTCAGAGCTGATGTAATCTCACTCCAGTCTGACACGCAAGTATGCTTGGAGAAGTCCAATTTAGGACAACAAAAAAAAAGACCAACCTGCTATAATCTAAAAACATTTTTATATATTTTAATACCCAAAATAAACTTTATGCACTATATAAAAAAAAAGGTTCCTCAAGAAACCATTGATGCCAATAAAGAACATTTATTATAAGTGTACTGTAATTCTTTACAGATGACTGGCAAAGCAAAAGGTGTGTATTATATAACTAAATATCAATGATATTAATATGAGAATATATTAATTAAAACATAATATTAATAGTATTACAATTTTAATTCAATATTTTTTTTATTTACATGTCAACATGAATTATATCTATTGTATTTATTGTAAAAAACAATATTTATAATATAACTTATACATTTATATATTTATATTCATATACGTCAGATGATTTTTATTAATGTATTTTTTAAAAAAAAGCATAATGTTCTTTCTAAAATATCTGATTGCTATGGGATATTGTATAAATAAATAAATAGCATTAAATATACATCAACAATATAAATATAGAATTCTATTTTATGTAAATAGTTCATTAATATTCGATTATATTAATTATATAATACTAATATTACATTAATTAAAATATTATAATCTTAATAATTTGAATTAATTAATTTTTTTATTTACATTTCATAAATTATATCTATTGTAAAAGTAATTATCCAAATAAAATTCTAATTATCAAAACAAAAGTGTGTCTGGATCAGATTATTTTTGTTAATGTGCTTTTTTTTTTAAATCAATGCTCATTAAAAAAAAACTTCTTTATTTTAATTCTAAAATATTTGATTGCTATGGGATATTATAAAAATAAATAATATTAAGTATATCAGATATATATATATAAAACAGTGTATTATATGTAAATATTATATTAATAATATTATAATATGAATTATATTGTATATTGATTAAAATATGAATTAAAATATAATAAATAAAAACCTATGTAAAGACTAGGAAATATATAGCTCAGAGATATCTTTTGTAATTGGCATTTTTGCACCAATATCTTGAATTTTAGGGCATAACTGCATTTATGGAGTTGTTGCCCTGCATCAAATTGGTCAACACTTATATAATAGTTTATTACTTGTTAAAATTCTCATTTATTTTACACACACACACACACACACACACACACACGATGATTTAAAAAAAAATTTATATCACAATAACAAATGCTTTTTTTTGCACTCACAACAAAACATGCAAAAAATAAAATAAATTAATTTGAATGCAAAATATAACTTAGAATTGTCTTGAAATGTGACCTGAATGTGTTTTCATGAGATTGACTATTACTCTCACGTTGTCTCTGTGGATAAGAGCGAGATCACTAACCTGTTTCTGATAACAGAGAGGCTGATACGATCTACAGTAACAGCAGCGGGACTCCGTCTTCAGCTCCTCTGCGGGAAATCAACAGGAGCGTTTAGTTCTAGCTGAGCGACCCACAAACGAATCAAACACGAGAAGAGCACAGCACAGAGACCTTCAGCAGTAAATACTCTGTTCCTCTCTAGCAAACCTAATCCAATCCATCTGCTCACCGAAGCGCTCGACGCTCCGTCCTCGTCCCCAAGCCCTCTCCTGTCCTCAGCAGAAGTTAGAAAGCAGGTCAGAGCTGATGTAATCTCACTCCAGTCTGACACGCAAGTATGCTTGGAGAAGTCCATTTTAGGACAACAAAAAAAAGACCAACCTGCTATAATCTAAAAACATTTTTATATATTTTAATACCCAAAATAAACTTTATGCACTATATAAAAAAAAAGGTTCCTCAAGAAACCATTGATGCCAATAAAGAACATTTATTATAAGTGTACTGTAATTCTTTACAGATGACTGGCAAAGCAAAAGGTGTGTATTATATAACTAAATATCAATGATATTAATATGAGAATATATTAATTAAAACATAATATTAATAGTATTACAATTTTAATTCAATATTTTTTTTATTTACATGTCAACATGAATTATATCTATTGTATTTATTGTAAAAAACAATATTTATAATATAACTTATACATTTATATATTTATATTCATATACGTCAGATGATTTTTATTAATGTATTAAAAAAAAAAAAAGCATAATGATCTTTCTAAAATATCTGATTGCTATGGGATATTGTATAAATAAATAAATAGCATTAAATATACATCAACAATATAAATATAGAATTCTATTTTATGTAAATAGTTCATTAATATTCGATTATATTAATTATATAATACTAATATTACATTAATTAAAATATTATAATCTTAATAATTTGAATTAATTAATTTTTTTATTTACATTTCATAAATTATATCTATTGTAAAAGTAATTATCCAAATAAAATTCTAATTATCAAAACAAAAGTGTGTCTGGATCAGATTATTTTTGTTAATGTGCTTTTTTTTTTAAATCAATGCTCATTAAAAAAAAACTTCTTTATTTTAATTCTAAAATATTTGATTGCTATGGGATATTATAAAAATAAATAATATTAAGTATATCAGATATATATATATAAAACAGTGTATTATATGTAAATATTATATTAATAATATTATAATATGAATTATATTGTATATTGATTAAAATATGAATTAAAATATAATAAATAAAAACCTATGTAAAGACTAGGAAATATATAGCTCAGAGATATCTTTTGTAATTAAATTAAATCAGATAATTATCTAATTATAATTATTTAAAAATGTGTCTGGGTTGGATGATTTTCACAAATGAATTTAAATGTCAAATGCAGCTTTTTGCATTGACAAAAAAATAAAACTTTTAAAATATAAATAAATATAATTTGTATCTTTAGACTTAAAAATCATATTTCCACTTTTGCCACTTTTATGGAATAAACAAGGAAACAAATCTGACCTACTATAATCATATTGGAGTTTGTAAAGTGATGCAATAAAAAAATAAAAAATAAACTTTCAGTGATCGGTTCTTATTTTAACCATCTAAAGAACATTTTCCATTATAAAGAACCTGCAAAGATTGCATGGATTTTGAAGGTGCTTCATCCCACCAGCAATGCCAAGACACAACCTTCATTGTAAGTGTAGTGTTCTTCTTTATAAACGACAAAACAAAAGAAAGGTGATCAGTTCTCGCTCCCGTCGGATGCCGAACCTTAACCGGCGGCACGTTTCTCAGCGATTAACAGAACACTCACACTCAGAACGGCTCCGGTATCCTGATACCTCATTAATAATTACAGCACCAGATGAAAAAACGATTTGTGTGCTGAAAATAAATCTGAGGCCATTTGTTCGGGACTCTCAGAGTGGAAAGGCGTTGGATTTAGTTTTTTCCGTCCTCACTTCGTGTACAGAACGTGAGGAAAGACCTGGACATTCATCAGGATGGACAGATGAAATGAACAAGGTGCGGATCATGTATGAGAGGAAGTATATGGGTGTTTATATGGACACTTGGCCTTGCTCCCTTAAAAACACTTTTTGAGATCACTAGTCAGGAGATCGGTCATTTTCAATAAAAATGTCACATTAAATTTACATATTACATTTAATTGCAATGAGATTTTAAACTTTTTTGGAATAAAATATAAGGCAAATTTCATACTGAGCATTGCATGCATTTTATATACACACAATATTTTCTCAATTATTATAATTTGACAAATTACGGCTTGGTTGGAAATGATGCATTGATATTTTTGGTAAAACTTTACAATAACATACTGGTAAAAAAAAAAAAATGTATAGCCTGAATGCACTGTAAGTCGCTTTGGATAAAAGCATCTGCTAGATGCATAAATTATTATTATTAATTATTACAATAAGGTTCTTTAACATTACTTAACTACATTAATAATGAAAAAACTTCTAAAGCAATGTTAGTTCATGTTAATTGTTCAACATTTACTTTGTTAAACATTACATACTGTTAAACATTTACTAATACGTTATTAAAATCAAAAGTTGCATCAGATATTAATAAATATATTAATAACAATTAATAAATCATATTACATATATATAAACAGATGCAATTATATACACACACACACAGTATATATATATATTGACCAAGTATTGAGTGCATAAATTAACATAACTTGAACTTTTCTGTTTTGCAAATCCTTTTTTTGATTGATCTTAGGAAATATTCTAATATTTTGAGATAGTGGATTTTTGAATTTCATGACCTGTAAGCTTTAATCATCCAAATTAATACAAAACAATTTATTTTTAAATGTTTCACTTTACATGTAATGAATCTAGAATATATGAAAGTTTCACTTTTTGAAATAAGTTTTTAAAAAATTACTTTTTCACGATATTTAATTTTTTTAGATGCACCTGTTTGTTTGTTTGTGTATATATATATATATATATATATATGTAAGTGCTGTCAAACGATAAATCAAAGATAAAACCAATGGTTCTTCCAGATGCAAATGGATTACAATGTTGTGCTCCACTTATACGGACTATATTGTATTTCTGCGAAAGCAAACACACTAAAAACGTCTGTTCGCCACAAATATACAGACTAGACCAGCTTTTCTCCCAAATGCGAAGACTAGACGGTTGTTGGTGACATTAATACATACTAAACTGCCTTTCTTCCAGACGCATATGGACTAAACCAACCGTTCTCAGATTAAAATAACCCAATTTAAAATGACACTCTCAGACATATACAGAGGTTTTCCCAAATACAGATTAAACCAGCGTTTCCCCCCAAATATGAACTTTTCTCCCAAATGTGAGGAGTATAAAGACTGTTGTTGGCAACATACAGACTACACTGCCTTTCTTACAGACACATACGGACTAAAACACGCTGTTCTCCAGTTAAAAAAACACAACTAAACGAATGCCCTAAAATAGAGACTAAACTGTTGTTCTTCCAGAGTCAGACACTTATGAACAAAACCCAACGGACTAATCCAACCGTTCTTAAGAAGCCAAACTCATGCTCTCTCAAACATATAAAGACTAAACTGTGGGTTTTCCCTGACTATGCAGACTAAAACCTGCAGTTCTTTACAGACACAGAATCCTTTTCTACAACAGACTAAACTGCCAACAATACATTGTATGGGTCAAAATGATCAATTTTTCTTTTATGCCAAAAATCATTAGGATATTAAGTAAAGATCATGTTCCATGAAGATATTTTGTACATTTCCTACTGTAAATATATCAAAACTTAATGTTTGATTAGTAATATGCATTGCTAAGAACTTCATTTGAACAACTTTAAAGATGATTTTCTCAATATTTAGATTTTTTTGCTCCCTCAGATTCTAGATTTTCAAATAGTTGTATCTCAGCCAAATATTGTCCGATCCTAACAAACCATACATCAATGGAAAAAAACATCGGTTCGCCACAAATATACAGACTAAACCAGCGTTTCTCCCATAATGTAAAGAGCTTTAACTGTTGTTCTCCACACATATATATGGACTAAACCAACTGTTTTCCTGTTAATAACCAATTAAACTGATGGTCTCAAACATTTACAGACTAAAGCATCAGTTCTTCCAGATGCAAATGGATTCAACTGTTGTTCTCCACACATATATGGACTAAACTACATTTCTGCAAACACACTAAAAAGTTGTTCGCCCCAAATCGGCTATAAAAACTAAACCAGCATTTCTCAGAATGCAAACAGATTAAACTGGTTATTTCAGATACATATGAACAAAACCAGCTTTTCTACCAAATGCAAAGGGTTTTAACTGTTGTGTTCCATATGGACTAAACTACGGTTCCTCCAACACAAATGCACTAAAACTATTATTCGGTCCAAATATATAAACTAAACTGGCCTTCTTCCATTTAAATATGGACTAAACCAACTGTTTTCCCATTAAAAACCAATATGCTCTCAAACATTTACAGATAAAACCAATGGTTCTTCCAGATGCAAATGGATTACAATGTTGTGCTCCACTTATACGGACTATATTGTATTTCTGCGAAAGCAAACACACTAAAAACGTCTGTTCGCCACAAATATACAGACTAGACCAGCTTTTCTCCCAAATGCGAAGACTAGACGGTTGTTGGTGACATTAATACATACTAAACTGCCTTTCTTCCAGACGCATATGGACTAAACCAACCGTTCTCAGATTAAAATAACCCAATTTAAAATGACACTCTCAGACATATACAGAGGTTTTCCCAAATACAACAGATTAAACCAGCGTTTCCCCCCAAATATGAACTTTTCTCCCAAATGTGAGGAGTATAAAGACTGTTGTTGGCAACATACAGACTACACTGCCTTTCTTACAGACACATACGGACTAAAACACGCTGTTCTCCAGTTAAAAAAACACAACTAAACGAATGCCCTAAAATAGAGACTAAACTGTTGTTCTTCCAGAGTCAGACACTTATGAACAAAACCCAACGGACTAATCCAACCGTTCTTAAGAAGCCAAACTCATGCTCTCTCAAACATATAAAGACTAAACTGTGGGTTTTCCCTGACTATGCAGACTAAAACCTGCAGTTCTTTACAGACACAGAATCCTTTTCTACAACAGACTAAACTGCCAACAATACATTGTATGGGTCAAAATGATCAATTTTTCTTTTATGCCAAAAATCATTAGGATATTAAGTAAAGATCATGTTCCGTGAAGATATTTTGTACATTTCCTACCGTAACTATATCAAAACTTAATGTTTGATTAGTAATATGCATTGCTAAGAACTTCATTTGAACAACTTTAAAGATGATTTTCTCAATATTTAGATTTTTTTGCTCCCTCAGATTCTAGATTTTCAAATAGTTGTATCTCAGCCAGATATTGTCCGATCCTAACAAACCATACATCAATGGAAAGCTATTTATTCAGCTTTCAGATGATGTATAAATCTCAATTTAGAAAAATGGTCCCTTATGACTGCTTTTGTGCTCCTGGGTCACAAATAAGCCACTGAACATCTGTTCTCCTGAATATAGCTACATATTACATCCGATATATAGCTACATATGAAACTGCTGTTTTTCAGATGTGTATACAAAGCAGCTGTTCTCCACACATTAACAGAACAACCCAGCTGTTTTCAGAACAAATAAGATACAGGCTAGATCGCCCTTGACAGAGACTAAGAAGATCACTAAAGAATCTGACATTACACTGAAATGTTCGAAGGTTTAATTCAATCATAACATATCTGGTATATAATATATATATAGTTGTCTAGTGACTCTCACCTCTAGAGGTGTGGATGGACAGCGTCTCCCGCGGCTCGGTTCCGTTCACAGCCCCGTTCAGCTCAAACACACACCGGCTCCGGTCCGCCGCGAGCTGCACGCGCTGAAGGCTGAGAAACACATGCGGAAACCAGCTTTATAAGCGAGCCACAGGATGCGCAACGAGCTCTGATTGGACAGATCCTGCGCTGACCCCGCCCACAACATCTTGTTGGACCTTGTGGCTGCCTGAGAAAGAAATAAAACTTCCCTTTTTGACTGAAAATGTCTCCAGAAATTAAATCTGACAAACCAAAGCCTCCTTAAAGGGAAATGGATGGATGGATGGATAGATAGACAGACAGAGATAGATAGATAGATAGATAGATAGATAGATAGATAGATAGATAGATAGATAGATAGATAGAGCACCGTGTATAAAGTTATTGTCTCTCAAAAGAAACGAGTCGTTTTTAAAACGAATCCCAAGCCATTTCATGTTGATGTCAACATGAAACATTAGCATATTGCCCGCCCACGTGTTGGTCTTTTCGCGTTGGTCTGAATGAAAATGCAAATTCATTCTTTGCCACTAGGTGTCGCTTTTGGAGCAGTAAAATAGTGTGTGAGTGAGTGTGTGTGTGTGTGTGTGTGTG